ATATATATATATATAGATAATTCTTTTCAAAATCAAAAATATTAACTTTTTCCCAAAGTCATGATTAGTTTCAGTGATATGTTTCGAGATCACTAAGTACTTGGATTGGTCTAATTTATAATTGCGATGTTCTTTAATTCTTGTCTGCAATTGTCTCTTCGTTTGGCAATATTCATTGTTGATTAATTTAAAATTGTATTTCTACGTTGTAGCACTGAGGAAGGCTTTGCAAGCCGAAACGTTTATTGATTATATTAATTTAAAGTTAATTTAATTGTAGCTCGAAATAAGCCATGACACTGTGTCAATTTTTAATTATATATTTTAAAAATATGAAATATTTGTAGCTTATAAATATAAACATATTATTATTATTATTCATATTTACATAATATAAGGTAGATCAAAATATATATTCATATATTAATAATTTGTATAATATTTGTATATACTGATTAAACAACTATTAGATAAATAATATAAAAATCGCGAGGTATCTCATGTGAAATTTATGTGGGAAGAAGAGCGAGAGGAAAAAATAGGAATTTAAAAAATAGACATTATATCGTGTTCTCGCAAGGCTATTTCAAGGCTAGAATCCATGACCTTGCATCGATCAAGCGCGGTCCGCAACCTGTTGCGCTCGCTGAGCTCGTCGAGCGTGAGGCAGGTCAGTGCTTACGAGCAGTCCGTTTATCAGAGTTGCATGAGGGGACTTCGCGCTGCGCTGCAACACGCGAATCCCTCCTCGCCGCGCCGTGCAGCGGTACATATATACATACATGTGCAGATCTTACCGTCACTGCGTCACTGCATTCCGCGAAGACGCGACGCACGGTACGTTTCGCGCGTCAGCGATGGTCCGATGGTGGCGGTATATTCACCTTCACCGGGATCATACTACTCGCGTAGAAAGGGAGTAACGCGGAGTGGCCGCGCTGCGCATCGTTCGCCCCACTACCTCCGGGACGCGCTCTTAAACATTCAAAACGCGCCAAACGCCAAAGAAGCGCGACATGCGCACGCCGCACGGCAATGCGCCTGACATGACGGCGAGAAGCGCGAGACAGTGCAGGAGGTGCAGGACGTGCGCGATGCGACCGAAACGCGTAAGCGCGTGGAAACGTTTCATTCGGCGAAGCCGCGGTGGTGGGATTACGAGTTGATTTGAAGACTTCATGATGTGGAGCTTTCAAGATATAGCTTCTCCTTTCCCCTTGGAAGACTAAACAAGATTACGTTTATGTGGCACGCCTAATCGGGTTTAATAATATCCGTAATTATAAAACTGATCAATCACAGTCATTCTTCAGAGAAATAGCTATGATTGATCGTAATTATATACTATGTAATTGATCATTAAATTCATTTTTTACATATGATACTATGATCTCTAGATCGATTTTTCGTTTATCATACAGCAAGACTTTTTAAACTTGTTAATTGATTGCAAGACAGAGAAGTTCTTGGATCTCTCTCTCTTGACCAAGCAGTAGACTTGAAAAGATTTGTCGTACGACGCAAGAAATATCGGCTTTAAGCGGATTGAAAATTCATAGAGAAAACAAGAACGCGCGCATCTTTCCCAAGGAAGGAGATGATCCAGGTAGCCATGAGTATCCACGGTCAGAAAAGAGAAGAACCGTCACGTTTGCGGAGATCGGACGCCAGTAATTTGACAACCAAAGGGTAAATCTCTTTTATCTTGAGTAAATAAAAGGGGAGAATGCGGAAAAGCGCAATTTTATGAGCTATTCGAGGGTGCGCTTCTTTTTGCGTTATCCTAAAATCACCTCCTCGCAAGCAAATACTTCATCAGGATTGTAGCAATGTGCTACAAGCGTTCGACTTGGATACCCTATTTTCGGGTTGCGGCCACGTCGCAGATGTACATATTATACATACATATATGTATATTGTGCCAAGCTTGTGCTTATATCATCGTGCGACACAAAAAGCTAGCGACACAAAAAGCTTGAAGATAAAAGAATTTAAATCCCGGAAAGGAAAATGTACACACATTATAGAATTTACAAGACATGGAAAACTGCGATTGCAATGATCATTAAAAATTCCTTTGATCAATTTTTAATTAACATTAGATCTTCTGGACTAATCGTCACTTGATAATTTGCATTGCGCTAATTTTATATGCAAATGTAATTCAAAGAATTATTAATATGTATAAAAAAAAACATGAGAAACGTGATGTGACATAAAAATTCATGGCTTTCTGTCTTCCGCGCGTTCGATAACAGTTACGCTACGCGTCTCTACATATATCTATCAGTGTTTTCACTTTCATCGCGCTCCAATGTATAGTCGATGGTCCCGACCTCAGACTTTGTCGGTTCTCGGCTGCCAGGCGAGTAGGATGCAGTAGGAGCCGGGGGATCCATCATCGCCGGGGCGTTTCGCGCGTAATCGTTCCGGCTGGTGATATTGCGCGACTCTCGAAACGAGAGAGTCTCGCGAGAGGGTCAACAATCTCTCGACTCGCGACGTCGGTCCGAACGGTCGTTGATCGGCGTTGTCGATATTCCGCAGTCGAGAAACTGACGCAAAACACTGTCGATTGCGTAAAGTCGACGACGGATTAGGGGACCATAAACAAGCAGAAGGCGCGTCACCGAAGTGGGACACACCATCGCGCCATCCATGAGAAAATTATCTGCGTCGAGATTGACGCTGACGTGAATATCTTTTGTTACATTGAAAAAAAAATCATTAAATCTTAATACACATTTCTTTGAATAGTGAACAAACATTTAATTAGAATAAATAAATATTTACTTAAAAAAAATGATATAAATCAAATTAATAATTTTCATATCAAATAAATATATGCTTGCATTTATAATACTTCGAACTATTCAAACAAAATTATTAAAATTTAAATGTTTGAAGGTGGCTCAATAATACAAAATATAAATAATAAGGAGCATACAGCCACGACGACAGATGTTAAAACGAAAATAATATATTTATTATTATTATATAAGAAAAAACGACGTTTCGGTCAAGATTTGATCATCATCAGTACATAGATAACAATAAAGAATTATAAACAAGTTTTTTAATTAAAAACGCAAAATCGCTAGTCAAAGAAATATTAATATAACATCAAAATGACAAAGAAAGAAGTGCAAAATATTTAAAAAATTATCGCAAGTCAATAAGATAGTAACAAATTCTTTTTCTTTCCAATCGCTTGTAGTACGTTAATTGAATAAGATAAAGTCCAGAGAATGAAATTTACCAACAAAAATATATATTAAAAAAGGAAAAAAAAAAGAAAAAAAAATTTTTTATAATCTGGGCAACTAATTATTATTATAAAAAAATATTAAAATTTATTTTTTGTTTTTTACAGTAAAAAAGCGAATATTGAATCTTACGAAGTATTATAAAGCCTAATAAAAACCAATAAAGTTACTAATTAGAAATACGAGTAAATTAATTTGATAATTATGAGATAGAGGATTTTTCTCTATCTCATGTTAAAAACAGCTCATTATTGACAAAAAATTTACAGCGAAACTGGTACTACTTTAGTTAATCTCAAATTAATGTTAATTATTCAGAGAATTTTAGGATACAGTTTTATTTCATTGTTATCACATTACAATGTTACTCACCTATACTCTGTAAATGATTTCTGATATTTTCATGATCGTGTTTATTGTTCTTCAAATTAATGTAATACTCACTGATTAAGATTATCCATCATCTTGTAATCTCCACCGGAAGTATTGATCTTCGAGATCAGGCCAGGCTGCAATTTATTCATGAGCATGCAGAGCAGAACACCATCCCTCAAAGCATCTTCGTAACTCACGCCTATAAGCACGTATACATTACATTTTATCGTTTAGAATAAATAGATATAATCTTTACACTTAACTAAACAAAAATATATATATATTGGCAGCAATTTAAAGTCTACAATTTAAATACAATAAAAATTATTAGACATTCGATTCAGAAAATTGTTTTATCAAATGTACAAAGAATAATTAAATGAATGATATATGTATACCCCCCTTGTAAATTAAATTTTTTTATTTTATATTGTTACTTCTTTAATTCTTTATAATAACATGGGTTCAGTGCCGAAATCGAAAAAGGGCAATGTTTGACTCCTTAATATGCAGGATCGCTTTTCCAAGTGGGTGGATCTACAATCTTTGCGAATTACGACCACCGCACCGGCACTTATGCAAGTTATCACTGAATGCATTATTTTACGCTATGGATGCCCCAAAATTATAATATCCGATAATGGAACGCAGTTTAAATCAGCGCAACTCGAGAAACTCCTCATCGCTCACATGTATATACGTCAGCATATACGTCGCAATGTCCGAACGAATAAACCGCATCGACAAGACGATGATAGCGCAATATGTCGACCGAAACCATTGGAGCTGAGATGAACGCATCCGCGAGCTGCAATTCGCGTACAATTCCGTGATTCATGACGCTATCGGATACACACCGGCGTACATCAATCTAGGATGCGAACTGTCACTGTGAACGCGAAAAACGCATATAAAGACCCCCGCGCTCCCGCCTGACACCACCGGCCGTCATCTGGAAGAGGCATACAAGATGAGAATTAACCTCACACAAGTCTTTCAAAGGCAGCAGAAATACTACGACGAAAGCCGTGGAAACCGCATCAAGTATATAAATAAGAGTATCTCTTAACTAATAAAGCGGCGGCCTTCAACGCCAAATTGGTACCAAAATATAAAGGGCTTCTCAAGGTATGACACATAGTGTCATTCGTTATCTTCTGCGCGACCAAAGCGGCCAATGGATTAGGAACGGCTATATTAAAGATTTAAAGCCCACCTCCTCCGACAACAAGTCATTGGGTAGTAAGTTAAAATGTTAAAAAAGTTAAAAAAAAAGTTAAAAAGTTAATAACTTTTAACTTAACTTAATTTTAAGTTAATTTTAAATGCATTAATTTTTAATTTAATTTAGTTACTTTTAATTTATTAACTTTTTTAAATTAAAATTTTTTCTATATCTCTTAATATAATGCAAATATTTTTTTTCTATAAAGTCAAACATAGAGAATTAATTTAGAAAAAGTTCAATGATTTTATGATAAGAGATCTGTAATAAGAGTCACCATACGGTAGTTTTTATTGATTCGCTAGAGTTTTTTCCCGCTTATATTTAAATCACACTAATTTATGCATCATAAACGTTATATTTTAGAAACATAAATATGAAATGAGCCTTAGATGAAGAATTGTAGAACAGTACTGCACATCCATCCATTTTCTAAATTTTTACATATATTTTTTATAACAAATATCTAGTCAATGTAATCATCGTATCATCAGTCAATGTAGTTAACGTAAATATGCATGAACAGAAGTTTCAGAAGTTAAAGAAAGTTAAATATAGATTAAAGAAAGAGAAATAATGCAAATATATACCTTTCTCTTTTCGTTTTGACAAAAACGCCTTATGGTGTGGCTCTTATTATATATAAGTAATTTACATGTGAATATAGAATTAAATTTACCTAATAATCTATATTTGTAAGTGTTATTTAAAATAATTTCATTTTTAAAAAAATTGAGATATTCTGATCTCAAAAATAATTTTTTTTTAAATTAACTTTTTTTTAAACTTAAGTTAATTCAACTTTTTACTTTTATTAAGTTAATTCTTTATTCAACTTTTAACTTAATTTTATTAATTTTATAAGCCATTAATTAAACCTTTAACTTAATTTAGTTTAAAAAACACATTAACTTGCCCAATCCTGAAAAGACCTACCCTTACCTCACACGTCGAAACCGATACCGAAAGTTTACAATGTAAACATGAACGAGAAAGACGAAAGCAGTCACAACATCGAGAACAAAGGCGATGACTAATAACAATAAAAGCTTGTTATGAATAAGAGCAAAAGATTCGTCATTTGATAGCGATGAATACAGGTGATTTTCTCGATGCGTTTAAAAAATTCCTCCAAAAGGAATATGATCTAGCCAATCCGAGCACAAGTCAAACGGTTAAAAGATCGAGGAACCGGCAGCCGCCTATTCACCGTTGCGGGAACACATGCTATAGGTATGGTGCAGCCCTTAGACCAGCAAGAAAGAGAAAAGCTGGTTTGGCTGACTATCCCGCCGCCTCCGCTACCACCGAGAAAGCCGAAAAAACAGGTGAAACCCAGCCGCCTGGAATTGTAGCCAGCACGTCCAGTAGGCTATCATCTCTGCCGATCCCTGTGGAAATCGAGCCTGGACACGTCGTCGACGTTCCGCGCTTTGCCGCGCATGTCTCGCGCCAGTACAAGACTCGCTTGGGAGGAATCCGCTGGCATATTCGATTTAATAAAAATGGCACTGTAAGATGGATTAAGAAGAAGTAAACACGCTTTAAGTTCAGGACAGCACAGCTTAAGGAGGAGAGAAATGTAACAATGCACCCTCACACGCATCGTTCTCGGCCGGATGCCACTGCATCAACCTTGCATTGTTGTCAGTGATGAGGACGCAGTGCGCCCGCACTTAAATCAAAAGCATAATTCACAGGTCATTCCGCCGGAGTTACCTGAATTCCGCCAATCTAATGTAAAGTTTGTCGAAGCGTCAAAGAAGTGTGAACAAAAAATTTTAACGCTTCTTAAACATTTCATTGATTTTCTATTGACTCTTAGTCTTGAATATTCATACACTCTCAACGAATTCTCCCTAAACGCTCCGTAAAGTGTGCCCAAAACACATCTGGTCACATTTTCCACATGTTTTAAAATTTTTTTTCATTAACGTTTCTCATACTCTTCTCAACACTCTGTAAAGAATGCATGGAGCGTACTGATATACTTCCTAAACACTTCATTTATTAGTACTTCATCTATAATACGCTTCTTATACGTTCGGCAAAAAGTACACTGAGCATTCAAAACACTTTGTGTACGCTTCCAGGATATTGACATAAAAAAATTTATTTTAAAACGGAACGTCATTGAGCTGTACAGCGAACATAAACGTCGAACGTCACGAAATGTCTATATTCGTTGAGTAGTACCGTACCACAGAGAGACTTAGCGAGAATTAATTTCTTGAATTTAAAAAATCGCACAGACTAGGATAAAAGCATTGAAAGATTTTTCAGTTGTGTTCTAATGAAATAATTTTTAGAAGTGAACCCCTACGGCTCCAAGAAGAAAGCGTAGCTTTTTTTAGATATTTATCGGTGAAATGAAATATATTTTAAAACATCATTTGCTTATCAAGGATCTCGATTACATTTCATTCATGTTCGTCTAAGAACTCGACGAATGCCGTTTATGTTTTCTAGACTAATTACGCTCCGTTTAACGAACATTCTGCTCGTGTTTGCCGAAGAATTTATCTATTTTTATTTATGTTTCTTTAGTTGACGCTTCTTTTACGTTCCAATTTCGCTTCTTACGAGTTTCATTTATGTTTCATTTTCTGTTACTCTCTTTTTACACTTCCTTTACACTCCAATTAATGCTTTACTGACACTCGCTTTATGTTTTATTTTTATCAGAGTATCCTTCTCATGTACACTTCTCTAAATAAATGCTAACAATTAGATATATAACCACATCAAAAGTTTGAGAACGATTGAACCCAGGTCTATATATGTGTATATTTATATATGAATATACATATATAGTATATACGAATATACATATAGTATATAACTATAAAGTATCGTTATTCTGAAAAAATAGTTGTTCATTTTAGGCTTTTCTTTTTGACTTTTTAGCATCATTCATCTTTCTTCCTCTTCTTTCCTCCTAGAGAAAAAAGGAAGAAAGCTGAACTGCCAAGAGTTCAGCCAAGAACAGGTCTTTTATTAAATTAATTTTGTCTTTATTTCTTTTCATAAAGAATATGTTCAAAAAATTTAAGTTAAGAAATTCAAGTTAAATATTTTATATGTTTCACTTAAATAGATATATTTTTTTTGAAAGAAATAAAAGCAAATTAAATTAATTTAATAATTTTTTTCAGCATAGATAATAATACATTATTTAATATGTTGGAACGGTATATATAACTCTTACACTGAAAGAAAAGATTGGCTAAATATGACATATCATTTTTAATTTCATTTCAATGATGCAACATCCCAAGTCAGGACCAAGCTTACCTCTCGTACATAGTGCGCACGCAGGTTGTACACAAACATATCTATAATTTAACTGGTTCTGAACGGCAATTTTGAAAGGTTTTCTTGGCAATAAATATTCTTGGTGATTTGCCAGACCGCTGAAGAAGAGCTACGAGTGTGAAAATTTCTTGAATCTGCCAGAGATCGAATTCAAATCTCTTAACATGGTAGACTCGCGCGCTGTTCATCGTGTTACGCTCGTGTTCATCATTTTTAATTGACTGCAGCAATTTTTGGTTAAGCGGGGAACACAGATTCTTATAACGCAACACGTAATGCATAAGAAAATGTTCCAATCAAATGTTCCAATCCTTCGTTTCCTTTATTTTTTCATAAAATAAAGAATTCTGATTGGTTGGATTTCTTATGTCTTATGTTATGCATTATGCAAGAGTGTGCTCCTCGCTTTAGCCTATCGAAATCCTATATTGATATTGCGGGATAGACTAATGCAACCAAAAATTGACTATTGCAACCAATTAAAAGTGCTATGCCATATTTTATCATCTAATTTGTTACAGCAATCAATCTTCTTTTTCAGTGTAAAGATGCACCGGATCATAAAATTACTGAATACTGCATATCACGCTGTATGCACGAGTACACGAGAACGTGCCATTAAGATCACTGTTAGAAATGTAACCATGAGCTTTCTTTAC